GCAAGCTAGCTTGTCCCAGTCCCATTCCATTCTCCGGAGCTCTGAAATGTTTTCCCTTCATGCGCTCTTTCATTCTCGGCTCCATGGGGATTGTTTAGCACTAAGGGCTTTGATGCAAAATTTTGCTATCTCAATTTTGATGAATGATTACATAGATGAAGTAGAATCATACGGCGCAATTCTCCTCATGCTGGAGATTGTGACAAAGGTGGCAAGAAGAGGAACTGAATAGGAGAGTTGGCTGTGGCGAATGTATTGGTCCATTGCTTTCACTCTAGATCAATAACCTAAGTTAGTTATAATAAGGGAATATACCCCTTGTTTTTTACTAAAAAAAAATTAAAAAGTGCAAAATAATCTTACCAATACAATGCTTACAATCACAAGTGAATCGTTTTATCAGGACTCCTCCGAAGATCACAGCAAAACAGGTGATCAGCCCACTCCATCGTAACTTCTAGTTGTTGAACAATCAACCTCCTTGGGCTGACTAAATCTTTATTGTGAGGCAAGTTATTTGATACACTTTCCATACAAAGAAGTAATATGTGCAAAGTCTTGACACTATCCATTCTCCAGCAAATGATCAGGTTGACCACTGGCAAATGTCACACATGTGTCAGGTTTTCCATGTCAGTTTGATCGATTAACTCATTATGACTTGCTTGTGTCTCCTTGGAATGATGCTTATCTCTTGCTTTTGATGAACTTTGACATAAAACTTGGCTTGTGCTTGCTGTTGACCACGTTTTTATCACTATATCAACCTTATGATTTTTACACAGCATGATAATCACAAATTCAGTGGATAAATAGTCCACTTTATCAAATCTGATTCAGTGTGTCTTGTTTAAACAAAACTTCAGCTTTTCCAAAGTTATTATGACAGTTCAGTAAATTAGTGCTGAGTTCAATGCTTGATGTAAACAAACACTCACATTCCTTCAGCCAAACACAGAAACTCTTTCAAAAGCCATGACATGGCTAAATATTAGGGCAGCATGCTGACTCAGTGGCTAGCACTGCTGTCTCACAACTCCAGGGACCCAGGTTCAATTCCACTGTTGCATGACTGTCTGTGTGGAGTTTGCTATCCTGCCTGTTTCTGCTGGGTGCTCTGGTTTCCTCCCACTGCCTGAAGATGTGAGGATTAGATGGATTGGCCATGCTAAATTGCCCATAATGTCCAAGGGTATGTGAAATAACTCCTCCAATTCCATTTAAACTTTCCACCTCTTAACCTAAATAAATGCTTCCTGGCTATGGATTCTTTAAATAATGTGGAAAAGGCCTTCTTATCCACTCTGTCTTTTTTCCCTCATAATTATATACACCTCATTTCAGTCAGTTATGAAGGAGTTTGATGGGTTGGTGTTTAGAACACAGAACCAGACCATTTAATCCAATCATCTGTGTTTAATCTCCATAGGAACTTTCTCCTACCTTACTTCAATCACATTCAAACTGCATATTCCTGTATTCTGAAATAGGTAGTTTTTCTTTTCTGCTATAAATCTTACACTCTTAAACTCATTCATAATGTTTTAGACCTGGTCAGGCCACTGCTCAGATTTCCACTTTAATGGAGCCAAGTGTTAGCTCAAACAGTCCCTTCCTGAGAGTTACAAATTCTCTGTCCCGGTATCATCATTGTAAATTATTTTGTTATTTCTCTGGAGTTTCCACTGACCTTTTGCTGAAGTTAGAGCAAGAAGTCAGATGAATTCCCCGGGAAATTACTGACCTATATATCTGTTTCAAAAGCTGCGCAATCAGAAGGTAAAATAAACATTGAATATTGTTGCCAAGCTTAACACATAGGAAAATTCAATTTCTGCAGTATTGTGACTTATTATTTGTAGATCAATGAAGAAACCATCTTCCTTTTTATGAATTTGCAATGATTTTCTATCCTCTGAACAATAAAGTTTCTCCTGAATTCAATATTCAATGTTTATTTTACCTTCTGATTGCGCAGCTTTTGAAACAGATATATAGGTCAGTAATTTCCCGGGAAATTCATCTGACTTCTTGCTCTAACTTCAGCAAAAGGTCAGTGGAAACTCCAGAGAAATAACAAAATAATTTACAAGGATGATACCGGGACAGAGAATTTGTAACTCTCAGGAAGGGACTGTTTGAGCTAACACTTGGCTCCATTAAAGTGGAAATCTGAGCAGTGGCCTGACCAGGTCTAAAACATTATGAATGAGTTTAAGAGTGTAAGACATAGAGCAGAAAAGAAAAACAACTTATTTCAGAATACAGTAATACGCAATTTGAATGTGATTGAAGTAAGGTAGGAGAAAGTTCCTATGGAGATTAAACACAGATGATTGGATTAAATGGTCTGGTTCTGTGTTCTAAACACCAGCCCATCAAACTCCTTCATAACTGACTGAAATGAGGTGTATATAATTATGAGGGAGAAAAGACAGAGTGGATAAGAAGGCCTTTTCCACATTATTTAAAGAAACCATAACCAGGAAGCATTTATTTAGGTTAAGAGGTGGAAAGTTTAAATGGAATTGGAGGAGTTATTTCACATACCCTTGGACATTATGGGCAGTTTAGCATGGCCAATCCATAGGAAATGTCTTCTGTTTGAAAGACAGTGGCATAATTAATTGTTCTGACCTGTAAAGGCCAAAAAATTTAGAGGGACTACTTACTTTTCAAAATGTTAACCTGAAATTGTATAGTTGCAGTTTGTAGGCTGCTTGCTTCACCACCCCTACCAAGGGAGCACTGTCACAGTCAACTTTATTGTCTTTTAAATTAATGGATAGAAATCCTGAGATTTGGGCTGTAATTTTCTGACCAGCCCTACATGTACCATTTTCAGTGTTAGTGCATGATTGGAGATTACTGTTTTGTTTCTTGCTGCAATAATTGCCAAATAACTCAATTATCATGAATGAATGGTATAGAATTTGTGCAGAGATCTTCATTTTCCCATGCTTAACCAAGATCCATTGTTCAAATGATTAGGTTTGATTGTTTGTCTCTGTACAGTTGAGTATCTGGACGCTGTGCTAATGAAGTAACAAATATGGTTCATTTATATTCCTCTAAGATCTTTGTTTTTGATAAGCTTTTACTGTTTCTCTCTCAATGGAGTTGGAATACAAAACAGACAATGACACAAATTAGGTAACATCTTAGTTGCGAATTTGAAACACTTTAGTCCATTACAAAGAATCATATTGGACTTGATGCATTAATTCTGTTTCACTGTCTCCAGATAGTGTCAGACATGCTAAGTTTCCCCAGCACTTTTTATTTTTATTACAGGTTTCCAACGTTTGCTGTACTTAGCTTTTGCTTTCAATTCAGTGTCTGTATTGAAAGACTTGTTTTCAAAAGTCCAATTAATTTTTTCAGCCAGTGCTGGAAAATGCAAGTATTGGTTGCATAAATAGCCATTTAAATTGTTTCTTATACAATTAAAACCAGCGGGGAATACCTCATATACCCAAGCAATTGACAGGTACTGGTGTATTTATACAGATTGTGTCAAAAGAACAAACAGTGATCTTTTGCATATTTGGAATTTTCTGCAGGAATATACCAATGTGGAAAATGGAAAGCCCTTGAACAATCCTGCCTTTCCTGAATATAAGAAACACTATTGCTTGACATAGATGTAAAGGCATGACAGACAAGATTCATGACAATGTATAGGAATATCATTAGCATAGATAGATTAGAGAAGATTACGTGGAGACTGGAGTGAAGATGTCTTACTGCAGTTGTATAGAGCCTTGATGAGATCCCACCTGAGTACTGTGTACAGTTTTGGTTTCCTCATTAAAAGAGGGTATAAGTGCCATTTATTGAAATGCAGCAAAGTTTCACCAGCTTAATCCCTGAGTTTGTGGGATTGTTTTATAGAGACATATTATGGAGGCTGGGTCTGAAGTCACATCAATTTTAAAGAATGAGGGGTGATCTCAATGAAACTTGAAGAATTTTGACAGGACATAAACATGTAGATGCAGATAAAAATGTTTCTCCTTGATAGTGACTCTAAAACCAGGTGAAATAATCTTATGGAAATGGGTAGACAATTCAAGACTGAGATTGATGACAAATATCTTCACACAATGGATGGTGAATCTTGGGAATACTTTACCCCAGAGGTAGATTCTAGATCATTGATCATGATTGAGACAGCAATTGTTAGATTTCTGAAGACCAATGACTTCAAGAGTAATGGAGATAGAACAGAAAACTAGCACTGAAAGAGATGATTGGCTGTGATCTAATTGCATGGGAGAGCAGGCTGGATGGGCTTAATTATCCATCCTTTTCTTATGTTCCTAAACAGAAAATATTTTCCTTGGAGGAGGATGAGATTTGATATGATAGAGATATTCAAAATCACAAAGGGTCTGGTTAGACTAGATAGGGAGAAACAGTCCCTATTGACGTAAGTTTCGAAAACCAGAGCACACAGATTTAAGGAAATAGAAGATGCACGAAGACATTTTCCGACCAGGAGTAGTTAAAATCTAGATTGTGCTGCCTGACAGTGTGGCCAAAGTAGGTTCAATCAATGCATGTAAGAAAGAATTAGTTTATTATCTGCAAAGGAAGAAGTCAGGATTATTGGGAAACGACAGGAGAATGATGCAAAATTGTTGCTCATTTGGAGAGCGAACGCTGACATAATGGTTGAATAGCCTGCTTCTGCGCTGTAACAATTCTGTTAATCTGATCCTGCATCACCATGATATTCGTTTAGAACTTGGCTGGGGGCAGTTGTTAGCTATTTTAATTATATCCAAATGATGTATAATTTTTGATATTTTGCCACTTAATTTGGACATGGTCTATGCAAATAGAAGCCATCTTAATTTTCTGATAAAGGCCTTTACCTGATAAATAAGTAATGGTTCATAATTGTTGTGTGCAGATGCATCCAAATGCCTGTTAATCTCAAGCTTTGCCACATTTAATATAATGGAAAATGTGAACAGTCCTTCTCTTGCCAACAGGGCTACACGGAAAAGATTCAAGCAGCAGTCATGGCTATCGTAGTGGGGGACCAGACTTGCATAACTTCATTTCTTCAGGATTTGTGACACTGGGACGAGGACATCTCAAGGGTACAGTAGAAACCACTTCTTTGCAAAAAGCGCTTCATGCTTATAATCTGCCGTCCACATTCCCGCATGATGCAATGTTTGTGTGCCCATTAGAAGGAAAGGGAATCTTAGTATAGATTGTCAGAGGCACAGGACAATTAAAATGATTATTTGAACACATATGCAGTAATAAATCTATTTCAGCTTCTTGTGTTGTGATTATAAAGCATGGGATTCATTTATTATGTTGCTGGGCTTTGCATCAGTAAGCCCATCCAAATGGAAGACAATGTTCAGCAGGAGTGCAGTCAATTTGTAGCAATGCAGTTGCCTGTTTGTATTAAAACTGACATGTTGATGCAAAAAAAATGTAATGCTAATGTCGCACTGTGAGATAATAAATATATTTGTTCATAATTTACAACAAGTAAGATTCAAGAACTTCCAGTTTGCAACTGTGCTTTCAGAAAAGAGGCGCTAGACACAGGCTAGGCATTTCCTCAAGATACCTAGTGTGTTTCCTAGGCATTGATAATAGATGATTTTAAAAAAGGGAGAAATCATTTTTTAATGAGAGAAATTCATGCACATTTCTCTTTTCATTGTGAAACAACAACAATGTTGGGTGTTGGAATCTACAATTCTGTTTTTGCATGTTCTCAAAGTACAATTGTTCTGTGACTGTCCCCTTTCTGACTATCCCAGTGATCCTCAGGGCAGAAAGTAATCCTCTGCCCCCTATCCGCTCCACTGTTTCAAGGGCAATATATTCTGCCCTATTTGTTTTAGTGATTCACAATGCTCTACGTTATCCTCTGTACATATTCAACATCATGATTTTGAGATTCCTAGCCATTCCCTTATGAAAACTACAGCATGTACTCTTAACCTTGGATTGGATTGCTGGATTGATGGGGTATTATAAAGTCAATACTTATGCTAAAACAAAAATCTGTAACTGAGAACCTATCTAACATTTGAAATTGATGTGGTTCCAAACAGCTGTTTAATTTCCTTTTTATCTCACATATTACATTACATGTAAGTTCAAAATTCATATATGTATATATGAATAAGATGCTTACACACATGTGCAAGGATATATTTGTTATATCCAAATTGGTTCAGAGACAATTTATTAAGTTACCGCTTAGAAGTGGTGTCTTTATCATGGTAGAGTTCTGTGCATTGAAGTTTCTTGAGCCCTCGTAGGCAAATACCATCACATATATTCCATGCATTGTTACTGCCAGTGAATCTTCTTCTTGCCTTATGGGTCACCATATTATAGATGGCAGTGTTGATGAAAACATATTTCCTGAAAGAATGTTTTTTATGAACTGTTTAAATGCCTTTTAGAGTACTGTGATTTGCTTGATTAATTGCGGAGACACTGAACGGAAAATCAATTAAAGGCAGAAACACCGGTCTCCTTTTTACTTCTGCCACTTGCGTCATTAATCCTTTACCTTATCTGTTTTAGCATTACCATAGCCTTCAGTGCCAAACACTATTCACTATTATGTAGAGATTTTGCTAAGAAAAGATGTAGGGATTTTAATGAGTTTCAGAGTTTTCCACAGCCCATGATACAGATGTAGAAAACCACAAAAGCAGTAGTGCGTTTCGAAAACTTTGCAAAGATTTAGTTACAGTGTCACATTGGTTTTCTTGCAGACCAACACTCACTCATTAGTTAGTTAATTGGCAGCTTTACAAAAGTGAGGGTAGGGGTTAGGCCTCAGATTTTCACAAAGCATAACTCCCCCAATTCCATTAGTTTGGGATCTAGCTAACATCACATTTAAGAAACTGAAAGCATTTCACTGCCAGTAAATACAGCGGACCAAGAAAGCTTGTTCTTTCAGCCTTACTAGAAATTAACAAACTTCCAGGATTGGCCTTCAAAATAACAGAAGAACTTCAAATATTAATTTACATGGGGACTTTTAAAATCTATGTTGAATGATATGCAATAACATAAAAGGTGCCACTCTTGGCTGATTGGGCCTTTATTGGGAGAATGTAAACACTAATGGAAGTGGAGTCATTCATATATGTATTGCACTGGTATGAGGGTCAGTGGATCAAAAGAGTTTCATTGTGATATTTTCACTAACTGTCCGTTATAAGTGTTGCTTCAGCGTCACAAACAGTAGCATTTGTTTAAAAGCTTTTTTCTTGGCCATAGTGAATGAATTTGTGATCAGATTGTTTATATGCTTCTCTGTTAGTAAAAGCAACTAAAAATCAAAAGCTTTGACATATCACTGAGCCTTATTGAAGTGTACAATCATTTCCAACATCATGGGCCAATTTACTGTTAGGCTACTGGTGCCCCTAGTGGGTAAAGTCAACAGAAGCCTTTTTCGTGTTTGGATCTTGAAGTCAAGAAAAAAAATTGACAAAAATATATCTGTGATGATCAGTGCAATTTGATTATTTAAAGCATGAGCACCAAACATTAAAATGTTAAGACAGTCAAATAGCAAGATTTGTAACATTAATTCACCACCAAAAAGGGACAGTGAAAACAGAGAGACAACAACAAAAAATTGTCAGTTTAATCTGAAATAAAATAGTTAAAAGTAAGCAAAATGTTATGTTAAAAGTAAAATGCAAGGCTGAGATAGGAAACATATGAGTGGCTAACAATGTAAAAAAAATGATTTTGATGTTTGTTTTTATCAATGTAGGATTAGCTCACAGGAAGAATTTGGTTCATAATGTTTGACTGGTTTTGTTGTTAGAATATTGAGTTTGATATTTGGTGAACTCAATCTCTGTGAATGAGAATGTATCAGACCAATATTTGCAGAGAACTGCTATTCTGGCAAGTTTAATCAGTGCATTTGAGCCATGCTGAGTCCAGATCTGATGTTTGCCTTTTGTTAATTGGCTGCAACTGAATAGTATTCCCAATTTAGTCAGGGTTCCCACTACTGTTTGTTATGAAGAGGCCTCTGGCAAAACTGCATCTTGTAAGTATCGGATGCAGTAAGTGTTAGACTTTGCTGCCAGTCCTGAACTGAGAACCAGAGGGTGCAGATTTAAAGTGATCCACAAATGTAGCAAAGGTAAGGTGTGAAAAAAAGAACTTTTCACTCACAAATATCTTGGGTCTGGAATGCACTGCTTGGAAGTGTGGTGGAGGCATAGTTGATTAAAGCAGTCAAGAGGGCAGTCGATGATTACTTGAACCTAAAAAATGTGCAAGGGTATGGGAGAAGGTAGGTGGATGGCACTCGGTCTAAATATTCATTGGAAGGTTGATGCAATCATGATGGGCCAAATGGTCTCCTTCTGCATCGTAACAATTCTGTGATTCTGTAAAATAATCTGTCGACGGTAATTGTTGTGACTCGTGCATGAATAATGGTGACATGAACAGGGAGTTGGGATTGTCCATGATATTCGTACCTGCTGGCTTAGGTGTTAAAGTGGGATTTTTGGACTTGGATGCATCTTAATAGAAATGCATAGGTAACAGCATTGTGGATATACCATCACCAGATGGACTGCAGCAATTCAAAAAAGCAGCTACTTCACAAGGGCAATTAAGGATGGGAAAGAAAGGTTTACCTTGCCAGTGATAACCACATCCAGCAAAAATAAATAAATCAAACTGAGCTGGATTTTGGCGATCAAGATGGTAAGCTCAAGTCCTGAAATTTCTCACTCACCATGTCTGCCTTGGTTAAAACATACCCTAATATGTGTAATTTTTGCTCAGGGATTGTGCGGGAAATTGCAGGATGGGGTTAGGTTCACCGACCTGGTCACTATGCTTTGCGGCCCAGATGGGTGGGAAGGTGGTGAAATGGATGGTTAGAGTGCTCATTTTGGTTCTCTGGGACTCTGTTCTAGTTATTTCAGAAGCAGTTAGGTACTCTATCCTTCACAGTATGCACGCACAGCCCATTGCACCTTTTACCTTCCATGCCAAATCATGCCTTCCACTTAAATTCTCACAAGACTGTCATCCACTCCACGTCACTTCTATAGTCACTCTCTCTCTATCCACCATAGGCAGACATTAGTTGCCATGTAGAGATGCTTTTATCTCTCATGTTGATAAAGAAATACTTCGCATTCATAACATTCATTCAAAGCTTTTAAATTTCAAGTAGTTAATCTCTTGTAAAAACAAACAAAATTCTATTCAGACCCCACATCAAAAACATCTAATCCTTTAGTAGCTATTTAAATTATTAACTGAATAGAGAACTTCATAGTTTAATTACAATCTTTTGAAACTCAGTCAAGCATCCATAATAATGTGCTAATAAGTCTTGAGGAAATGTCAATAAACGACTCTGTGTGATAAACAGGTCCATACAGCAGATGTTCAGGGTGGGGGTGAGTAATTCAGCCTAGCTGCTCCTCTTTCGTACCGGGTGTCCTTGGAGAAGGAGCACATGGTGTCCACAGGTATACTCAAGGCTTTTCATGACCAGTGGACACCACAGAGACTGGAGTTCATCATTACCTACCAAAACCAGAGCTTCCTAAGACTATAAGATGTAAGAGCAGAAGTAGGCCATTCAGGTTACCGAATCTGCTCCACCATTCAATGAGATCATTGTTGATCTAATAATCCCCAGCTCCACATTTCTGCCTTTTCTCCTTAGCCCTTAATTCCCTTACTGATTAAAAATCTGTCTATCTCTGCCTTGAATATTTTTAACTCCCAAACTCTGCAGCCTTCTGCACTAACTTTTCAGTCGGAATTTTCTCTAATTACAGTACTACTTTAAGGGCTATCAAGCTGGGTTTTTTGGCTCATTTGTTTCTATTGTATTGGAAAACTAACAACTCTAATTATACTGCATGACTGGATGCTACTATTTATTTTAATCTGTATCAAATGGCCTGTTAATGAAAGTAGTCTAGAATCCCCATAGTGTGGAAGCAGGCTATTCAGCCTATTGAATCCACACCGACCCTCTGAAGGGCATCCCACCCAGACTTAACCCCTACCCTAAATTTCCCATGGCTAATCTAACTAACCTACACATCTT